AAATGCCACACACTTTAAGTTGTGGCTTAAAGTAATAAATGTTTAGTATCTCACAAACCTGGAGGCCAGAATTCTGAAACTGAGGTATGGCAGGGCTGGGCTCCATCCATCCATCCTTGCTTCTTCTAGACTTTGATGATACAGCAATCCTCAATGCTTCCTGGCTTAGAGTTGCCTCACTCTGCTCTCTAAAGCAACATGGTCGTTTTCTTCTATGCCTTTGATCTCACATGGCATCTTTCTCTCCTATAAGAACCTGACATTGTGGACACCCAAGGACACTCCCTAATCTAGTATATTTTCCTCTTAACTTGATTATATTTGCAAATGCCCTACTTCTACATAAATTTACACTCTTAGGGACTGGGGTTAGAGATTCCAACATATTTTTTAATATTTTATTTTGATTTTATGTGAATGAATGTACTGCCTACATGTGTGTAAGTGCACCTGTGTCATGCAATGCCCACAGAGGTTACATCAGATCCCCTGGAATTGGAGTTATGGATGATTGTTAGCCACCATGTGGGTGCTGGGAACTGACCTGGATCCTCTGCAAGAGCTGCCAGTGCTCTTAACTGCTGAGCCATCTCTCCAGACCCCAACATACTTTTGTAGGGGAAACAAATCAACCCTTAATACTGGTCCTACCACCAACCTAAACCTTATACAACCTGGATGTGGGGGTATAGCTCAGTTGGTAGGATGCTTGCCTACCATGCACCATGTCCTGGGTCCAATTTCCAGCACCCATTAGTGTGTCAGCCCACACTCATGATCCCAGTACTTGGAAGGTGGAGGCAGAAGGATCAGGAGTTCAAGGCCATCCTCAAGGACATAGCAAGTTGGAGGCTAGCCTAGGCTACAAGAGATCCTGTCTCAAAAACAAACCAATAACAACAAAACCATCACATAACCTTGGTGTTTCTCTATGTCCCAGTAGTTAGATCAGTTACACATGAGCTTCCTATATTTATTACACCCAACCCCGCAGAGATTTTAACGTAGCACCTATCTCAACAGCCACGGGGCTTCCTGAATGCCAGAAACAGCCTGAGGAAAATCAAAACTTTATTTAACCTTAAATTCCATTATATAGTCCACATTTGATGCAATTTATATTTGAACTATAAAATTTTTCTCTAAGTTGAAACATGACCTATAAAAGGTCTGCACCCTGAAGCAACATTCTAGAAAGAAATCAATTGGTCTTTTTTTTTCTATAGAAACCATTAGCCAGAGGAGAGATAAAGGGAAAACTTCCTCATAGTGATTGAACTCTCAAACCAAAAGCTTAATTTCTACAAGGCAATGGTTCCATATAGATAAAATGCATTAGGCTATTATTAGATTACAGAGCGCCTCAAATCCCGAACAGGAACCTTTAATATAGTTCATGCACCTTCTGCCTCTTGCAACAAATGGGCAGGAGCACTCAGATGCGTGCTCAGGCCTCCTCCAGACAGCACTGTCTGCAATTGTCACTCTGTGTGACAGGCAGGGATCTTAGATTTCCCTTATACCTGAATGCATGACTCCTGTTGAGGTCCCTAGGTCCTTCAGTGGGCCAAGGTGACAGTTCAGTTGATAAAGTGCTTGCCTAACAAGCATGAGGACTGGAATTTGATCCCCCAGAACCCACACACACTTGTAATGTTAGTGTTAAGTGTTAAAGAGGCAGAGACAGGTGGATCATTGGACTCGCTGACTGGTGAGCCTAGCCTACTTGGCAAGCTCTAAGCCAATGAAGACCCTGACTCATGAAAACAAGGACAACATCCTGAGGAACAACAACATCATAGGCTGACCTCTGGCCTCCACACACATGCACACATGTGCATGCAGACACACATGCACACACACACATGCATGCACACACAAAGTCCTTCAATGTTTGTCTCTCCTACATTCAGATCTAGGACGCATAGCTTTTGTCACACTCCAGGATAAGATGACCCTCTGTAGCCCATGTAGGGTCCTTTCTCAGTCTGCACCTGCCTATGGTTTCAGGAAAGGCTGAATCAGCCTTAGGAACACAGCATGCAGCACTACTAATACGAACGTCTTAGGAACACAGCATGCAGTATTATTATGCCAACTGTACTTGCTCTTTTGTACCAACAGTGATTAATAGCTAATATAGGTGATGTACCAGTGTACCTCTCTGGGTCCTGCTGGTTCAAATCACCAACTGCAAGGAAAGAGTTGATCAAAATGACACAGGCAAGCCAAGGCCCCTGAGCCACCTCTGAAGTCAGCTTTCCTCAGCCACTGACATCCAGCCTACTTCTCAAGTCTTGGGATACTACAGCCAGGAGAACTGCACTGCGTAAAAACAAAGCAGAGTGGTGGAACATGTCTATACTCCCAGTATTTAGGAAACTGGGGCAGGAGGATCACTGCAAGTTCAAAGCCAAGCTGGGCTACAAATTGAATACCAGACTAGCCAGGGCTCCATAACAAGACTCTGTCTCAAAACAAACAAACATGGCCACTGAGATGGCTCATCAAGTAAGGCACCTGCCTGGTGATGAGTGCAATCACAGAGTGGAAGGGGAGAATGGACTCCTGCAAGCTGTCATTGAACCCCCTTCTATGCTTTGTAAGTGCCACACACACACACACACAAATAATCTTTAAAAATGTAAACAAAACTCCACAGAAATAGCCACAGCTCACTCTATTTAAATCAACCCAGTGCAGGGATTAAAGATAAACCCCTTCCTTCTTGGTCTCCCACACTGGTCTGGCGCCTTGGAGGGACAGCACATGGAGTCAATTCCCCTCAATTGTTCTCCCAGCTAAGCAGAGCCCAGGGTTTCTCATCTGAAGGAGGTAATGAGATTTAATGTTCCCTCATTCACCTTCTGCATACATATTTAACAAATTAGCTTGGGATGCTTCCAAATGGAGTTTTGCGGAAGATTTGCTAAAATGAAGACCTTGACCAACAGTGCAGATCACAGGGGTAGGAGAGGAGGGATGGATTGCCAGTGCCCAGCCTTTCAACCCAAGAGAGACACATTAACTTTGAACAGACAACTCTACCACCCTCTGGAATCAAGTCCCACTCTTCCTTCAGATTCTTTTCCCTGCAAGATCAAACAAGCACCCACAGTTCCTAGTGCAAGGCAAGATATTGCTTTTGTTATGTTTGTCTTTATTGAAGCGATAATTACTTCAATGCCCAGTTCCCTCTTCAGTTCCTGCCCTCCCCTGCCCCTAAAGGCAGAGACCACACCTGCTAGGGCCAGTCAGTGCCAGATACACAGTAGGTAGAGGCTTAACAAGAATTGGAGCCACCCCACCTTTAATCCCAGCTCTCAGAAGTGGATTTCTGTGAGATGGAGCCTAGTCTACATAGCAGAGTTCCAGGCCAGCTGGGACTACAGGGAGACCCTATCTCAGATAAACACTGCCCCGACCCGCGGAGCAACAGCGTGGGGCACCGAGACTGAACCTGGAGGAATGAATAGACAGGGGGCACGAAGAAATGGAGACAAGACAGTATTCTGATCAAGTCTCTTTTATTGAGCAATCACACAGTGTTAATATAGTAAAGTGGAGGGTAGGGGAAGGTAAAGGGTGGAGAGAAGGGGGAGGGGGGTGGAAGGCGGCAAGGCCCTGCTGGGGAATTTCTACTACAGTCATGAGCCCTGGTGGTTTCACAAGATAAGGAAGTAAAATGTAGAAAAAAATCAGGGCAAGAAAAACATGTTTTTACAAGGCCACCTGGTTGTTTCAAACTGGGGCAGGGGATACACTTAAGGCTTGGCCTCCAACAAAACACCACCACCACCACCAATTAGATGATGGCCAGGTACCATGGTACACACCTTTAATTCCAGCATTCCGGAGACAGAGGAAAGCAGATCTCCCAGTTTAAGGTCAGCCTTGTCTACATAGTGAGCAGGCCAGCCAGGGCTTCAATACTGAGACCCTGTCTCAAAAAAAAAACAAAAAAAGGGTACTAGTGGGTGAAGGAACATCTTATTATGCCAACATTTGTTGATCTAGAAGTCATCTGCCTGCACATAAAGGTGTTTATTTACTGACTTGCTAAATTTGGATTCCTCAAAGCTACAGGTAGTCTTAGACTAAGCATCATCACCTCTAAGCTGCGTGATCTGCTTTTCCTAGCATAATGAAGAAGAAAGGAGCTTAGAATTTAGGGACAGTGAGGGGTCCCTTCCTGACCCGACACAGAGGCGGTGATGGGGAGGGTGTCTGATAAGACCAACAGCACCGACGCAACAGCTAGTCGTCCAAGACCAGGTGCGGGGATTGGGGGAGATTATTAAAGTAACCCCGAGCTGGCCCGGCTGGGCAGGATCCTGGCCACGCCCGCCGGACCTAAACCTGGGGGTCAGGGACCCGCCTCAAGGGCAACATGCTAGAACCCAGTCCGGCCCACCAGACTTGGCCCGGTACTAGGCCACAAGCCGGGCTTTCAAGCCCTGCAGGACACCACAGGCAACACGACCCAACACCAGTGTCGCTAGGCCCTGCCCCAGATCCTCCCCAGGAGCCGGGCCCCATCTCAGTCTAGGTCCCAACTCCAATCGCTACGCACCGCCCCATTTCCGTCCAAGTCCCGCCTCCTGGGCGCCAGGCCCCGGGAGCCATACGCTGATCTCTCCCTAAGCTCCGCTCTGACACAGCTGTTAACGCCCGTAGCCTCGGTCTTATTTCCCGCCCCAAGCTCGGCCCCCGATTTCGAGCTTCGTCTAGCCCCACCCCCCACTCCCAGCGCGCCGCCGTCTTGCCCCCCCTCAAGCAAGACCCTCGGACTAGAGCGTCGCCTAGCCCCGCCCTGTTCCCCGCCCACAGCACCCTGCCTCAAGGTCCGCCCCGCCTCCCGAGCCCGAGCGTCGCCTAGCCCTGCTCCCCTCTCCCAGGGCGCCCCCGTCTAGCCCCCCCTCAAGCTCCGCCCCCCCGGATTCGAGCGTCGCCTAGCCCCATCCCCCGCCCACAGCACCCCTCCATCTTTCCCCGCCTCCCTTGTCTCCCGAGCTTCCCGGCAACGCTGGCCCCGCCCCGCCATGGCGCCTGAGGACCACGAGGGGGCCACGTCTGTGCTGCAGAGTTTCGAGCGCCGCTTCCTGGCTGCTCGCGCGCTGCCCTCCTTTCCCTGGCAGGTGGGCGGCGGGTGTCGCGGTCGGGCGGCGGGGCGGGAGAGGCTTGTGCCACCAGGCAGGCGGGACCTTTCTCCACTCCGGCTTGCAGGGTCTCGGATAGGGTTGGATCGTTCTTAGGACTTTTTAAGCCAGTGTTGATCGAAATAGTTCTGGAAGCTCAGCTTGGGACCCCATCGGAACAGCAGGCATCAGACAAAACCTTCTGTTGGGGAGTTCAGGCCGAAAGGGGCCCTCCCAGCCCCTGGAAACCTGAAGCTTGGGCACGAGGCTCCAGTGGAGCAGACCTTGCTGGTAACTTGTGTGCGGTGAGCTCATCCGCATGAGTCACTCCAGAATCTGCCCCACTTCATCGGGTAGTTTAGTCATTAGTGTTATTTCATCACACATAAAACATTTAGCACTCACAGATCGATTCTGGTCGGAGGAATATGTGCATTTCTTTTTCTCTATGTGCATTTCTTAACCCCAAATGGAAATCTGAACAGCATCCGTAGGACTCCATTCAATGTCAAAGTGCAATTGTTCACATGCTTGCTCGGGTTCACCCACAGTGAGATGAACTAGGGTCTCTTAGCACTCCATTTGTCCAGGAAAGTATTTAAGGAGGAAAGGAGACCAGCTTCCTGCTTTGAATCCTGGCTCAGACCCCCAATGTGCTGTAACCTTAGACAAGTGACTGCAAATCTGTGCCACCATTTCTAATTAGTAAGATGAAGGATATGATATACCAACGTCCTTTTGCCACACAGCTGGCTGGTGTTCTTTGCTTTTACCCAGTTAGATTACTAAGTGCGGGCCTCTGGTGACTGGTTTCTAGGTGTACCAGCAGTAGGCAGGCGGGAGCAAAAAAAGCAAGTGCCCCCCCAAGTATTGCAGGCCTGCACATGGGGTCCTTGGCCCTTGTTATGGGCCCTAGGTGGTTCTTGGGCCGTTTTGGCTGCCAGCTTCCAGGCAGGCCTGAGTATTGGTCCTCCTTAGCCCTTGACTGGCCAGCTGCCTGGCTGCTGTCAACATTCTGCTGGTCAACTGTAGCCATCACTGCCAGTGCTGCTCTGCCCAGCCTCTCCTTTCTTCAGGTTGTCAGCTCAGCCAGCACTAGTAAAAGTAGGCAGGAAAAGACCCCAGAGAAGTCTTCTGTTAGGCCTGCTACTACCACACCAGGGAGAATGCACAAGAGGGTGGTTTCCAGCCCACTCCCCTCTTGAGCCAGAGTAGAAGATTGTATAGGTTGTTTTAACCAGTCACCTTGCCTCTTAGTACAATCGCAGCTATCCTTCTGTTGGCCACAAGGGGGCGCTTCTCCCGGTCTGGCCTGGGTGGAAATGGCTACAGGATCTTCGAAAGTTTGTGACAGCAAGTCTGTGCAAACTATTTCAAACACCTCTGGCTGAGGCTGCGCCTTCTGGGGACGTGACAATCAGCTGAAGTTGTTTTGAGGTTTTCTCAAGGTGTTCATAAAGTGTTCAGAAGAGCCAGGGCTGGCATAAGGGCAGTCCTGCTGGTTGTCTTAACTGACAGTCCTTTTGCAAAGAACTTAAATAAGCCAGGCATGGTGGCGCACGCCTATAGTCCCAGCACTTGGGAGGCAGAGGCAGGCAGATCTTTGTAAGTTCAAGGCCAGCCTGGTCTACATAGTGAGTTTGAGTTCCAGGACAGCTGGGGCTACAGAGCGACCCGGACCCAAAAACGCCAAAAAAAAAAAAAAAAACCTAAGAACTTAGATGAACACTAGTCCTGATTTTAACAATGCTTAACTGCTTAGGGAGAGGCAGGTTCCCCACTCCTGTATCTCACTTAGTGGGAGTTCTTGAATACGAAAGCCTTGACTCATGCCTAGCTGTGGTAAATGCACAGTATTGTTTAGTATTTACTCAGTCACTATTTCTTGAATGCCTTCTGTGAGCTGCACACTGGAACTCATCACCTTAAAGGGCAGCTCAGATCTCACTAGAGACCTACTCAAACAGGAATGAGAAAATACCAGGTGAAACCATATGTGGGGGCTCATGCCTATAATCCCAGCTTGAGAAACTGAGGCAGGAGGAGCTCTGTGAAGTGAATTGGAGGTCAACCTGGGTCACAGATGAAACCCTGTCTCACAAGAATAAAAAATAAAGAGAAAAAAGCAGAATGTGGTAGCCACACCTTTAATCCCACCACTCAGGAGGCAGAGGCAGACAGATCTCTGTGAGTTCAAGGCCAGCCTGGTCTACATAGTGAGTTCTAGGCCAGCTGGGGCTACAGGGAGACCCCGTCACAAAAAGACCAAAAAAAAAAAAAAGGAGAAAAAAAGGAAGAAAGAAAAAAACAGATGAGTGGCTATAAAGCCAACTAAACACTGAAGTGGTGAATAAAGCTGCAGGGAAGACTGGTCAGAGTAGAGTTGGTGAAAGCCAAAGAAGCAGTGTTTTTAAACTGGGACATGAGCCCTGAAGCAAAAGGGGAAGTGCAAAGGTCCTGTGGTAGAAACATGGCTGCCATGATTAAGAACAGCAGAGAAGCTGATGTGGCTGGAGTGGGGTGAGCAGGGATAGGACTGGGTGTAGAGGTCAGAAAGGGGCATGGCAGGTCCTAAAGGGCATGGCAAAGTGCTCTGAAGAAGTGGCCTGCCAGGTGTCATATCTCTACCTTGACTCTGGAGCCAGAGCTGCCATCCCCTGTGAGAGGGTGACATGTCCAGGCTTGGCACTGCCTGTCAGAGTCCCATTCTAGCTGAGGTGGCAGGTCCCAGGCCTTCTGGGCTGAGCTGCTATGACCACCAGGCAGCCAGATCAGATATAAACCTGAAGTCAGTCTTCTAAAATTCTTCCCATGCTCATCGTGTTATCCGAAGGCCAGACAGAGCTCACCTCTGAGAGCCTCCACTTCAACTGCTTCCAAGCTCTAGGCAGGAATCACTGAAGCTCTTTGCCAGAATATTCCACGGCATGTGTAATGCTCCTGAGAAAGTGCCCTTGGGATTTCTCTCTCATGTGCTCTCTTTCCTTGGAACAGAGCCTAGAAGAGCAATTAAGGGAGCCCTGGGGTTCTGAGCTGCTGCTGGCTATTTTGCAGAAGGTAAGAGCCCAGCCTGGAGGGGATACCTCACCTGGGGAATACCCTGACCTGCCATGACAACCTGACAGCAGAGCCACAGGTCCTATGTGTCCTTTCCAAACATCATGTCCAAAGAACTAAAGCATCTTGTTCCTGTCTGCCCTGTGTGTGGACATCAGCACTTCAAACAGCTCTGGCTGTTTGGTTTTTTTGGGTGAAGATGTTAGGATCGACAAAACTCTGCCTGAGAGGGGAAGGCTAGGAGATGCCTTCAGCCGCAGAGATGACAGGTGTGGGAAGTGCCTCCAGCAGGTTAACTGCTTTGAGACTTCCTTCTTTGCACTTTAGGCCCAAATAAGAAGGTCTGTCTTGCCTGCTCAGTGTTGTAGGCAGAAGTGGGCTGTTGTCTCAGCAATGTATGTATCTATAGGTACAGGCAGGACCGCCAGCCTAGCCACCCAACCGCATCCTGACCTTGGCTTCCTGGATCAAGGGCAGGTCACACCACCACAGCCTCGGCCTTGACCTTCTTGAGGGTCATGAGCTTTCTGGAAGGCTAAAACTGTAGTCTCCCTCCCTAGAAAGAATGCACTAGAAGATCAGGCCTGGTGGCACACACCTTTAATCCAGCACTCAGGAGGCAAAGACCATCCTGGTCTGCATGCAGATTCAGAAAAGTCACAGACTTTTGCCCCCAACCATGGAGCCCACCCAAAGAGCATATCAAGAATTCTGTGCTGAACCAGAGCAAGTTCAAAGTCAGCCTGGGCTATGTGAGACCCTGCTCAGAAGAAAGGGAAGGAGAAAAACAGCCTTTGTCTTACAGCTTTCCATGGGTAACAGTATAAAATAGAGAGCAGACTATCATAAAATCTAATCTGGTGTCCATTAGTAGGAAGCTCGTAAACATCTTTTGGGCCTCCTGTGGCCTTCCCAAGCCCACAGCCACCCCTCCCTTCAGGCCTGTTTCCTGCTGGTCTTACACCCTCCTTCCCCAAATGCCAAGCCATCTGGGAGCCACCACTGCCTTGAGCCCCTTTACCCTTGGCTTCTGGAAGTGTCAGTCCCCAAGAGTCTGGCCAGGGCAGAACCCCTGCTCTTTCGTATTTGGTCTTCCCCTCACAGCCAGGAAGGCAGGTATCTGGTGGGCCTGGCTCCTGCCACTAGACCCTCACTTCCCCTATGCTGACAGACAGCTTCATTCTTGTACTCACGACAGACTGGTTTTGTTCCCATCTGCCACCCAGGACAGGCAGGAAGGGCCTGTAAGCTCGTTTCTACCTGGGGCTGGTCCGAAAAGCATCAGACAGCTGTGCTGCTGGGTGGAAGTGTTTTGGGGAAAGAACTATCTTAAGACTCAAATTTTTTTTCTTAATTTTCTAAAATTTATCTTTTATGTGTAGGAGTGTTTTGCCTGCGCCTGTCTCATGCACTGTCCTTGGAGGCCAGAAGATCCCCTGGAAGTAGAGTTATGGATGGTTGTTAGCCACCATGTGGGTGCTAGGAACCAATCCCAGGTCCTCTGCAAGAGTAGCCAGTGCCTTTAACTGCTGAGCTGGCAGGAGGATTGCAGGTTCAAGGCCAGTCAGCCATCCAGGAAGACCATCTCAAGAAAAGAGTCTTACAGATGCCAGGGCACACAGGCCATAACCCTGTTCCTACACCATGTCTTCACTGAGACATTGGTTCCCCCTCTCTGCCACCCCCTCACCAATCACAGGACACTTAGGACAGATCTCTGTAGCAACTAACTTCTTGTCCTTTGTTGTCTAGACTGTGAAACACCCAGTGTGCGTGCAGCACCCACCATCTGTGAAGTACATCCGCTGCTTTCTCTCAAAGCTCATCAAAAAGGTCAGTGATGGACACTGGCTGATGGGACCAGACCACATACAGGAACTGGTGGGCTCACCAGAGGTCCAGAGCCCTGCCAGGCCCTGCCTCAGGCAGCCCCACTTCCTTCTTTGCCTGCTCAGCAAGGCCCTGGGGCAGGGCCTCCCTGGGCTGGGAGCTGCTGGCTGGGTATGGTGGGAAGGGAAGGTGGGGCAGGGCAGGAGGGAGAAGCCAGGGCGGTTTTGTCTCCCAGATGCAGATTCTCCTTCTTGAAAGGCATCCCCTCCTACTTCACCCTACCAGCCAAACTCTGGCTCTCCAGGCTCTTACCTGGCTGGCCCACCTACCCTTGCTGGATGGGTTCTACAGTCCATTCCCAACTAGCTCCTTGTACCCCAGAATGGAGTAGACCATGTGCACCAGGCTCAGCACATTCACAAACAATTCTGCATCACCCTACCCCCAGGCCTCACCAACTCCATGCCACGGAAAGGCAGCTTAAAAGCCACAGTGCACTGGAAGTGTTGTCCCCACAGAAATGCTCAGGGCTCACTTAAACATGTCCTCCATCTTGTGGACTCTGCCTGATGCCCTAGACCTCGCCCACCCCACCCTTGCCACACCTTTCCTCAGTCCCACCAAGTGCACTGCTGATTTCGCTTATTTTAATTCTAAGTGGACTTTTCATACACTCACCACCACCCCTTCCCCAGTCCACCCCGAATCTCTCCCTCTAAATCTGGTAAAAATCATCTGACATGCTGGCCCAACATCCACAAGTGCCTAGGTTCTGGGCCCTGGCACAGAGAAACAGGTAGAATCCAGGTTATTTATGAGGGTCAGCAAGGCCCTCTCAGCTAAGTTTACTCTGTCTGTCCCCAGCATGAAGCTGTGCCTGCAGAGCCTTTGGACGCACTGTACGAGGCAATGGCAGAGGTCCTGATGGCCAAGGAGCCTGCCCAGTGCCACCGGAGCTATCTGCTGGTATGAGCTATGATTGGTGCTCTCCTCCAACCCCCATGTCTATGATTGGATCATGTTAAGAGTATTAGATGGAGATCATACAGCATGTGACTTAGCTCCTTTCACTCAGCATAGTTCCCTGAAGACCACCCACACTGTCAGGGGTAGCAAGCTTGTCCTTTTTCATTGCTGAGTAGCATTCCACAGTGTAGACACCATAGTCTGCTCAGTCACTGACTTACTGTAATTTAACCCTCATCATTTATACTCTGGTAGCTGGGTTCATTCTCCTACCCTGTCTCTGTGCAGCCTTCAGGAGACTCAGTCACACTCTCTGAGAGCACAGCCATTGTGTCCCATGGCACCACAGGCTTGGTCACATGGGACGCTGCCCTCTACCTTGCAGAGTGGGCCATCGAGAACCCAACAGCCTTCACTGACAGGTGACCTTGGGGCACCAGGCACAGGGCAGGGCACAGAGGCAAGTTGGCCCTGGCATAAACATGGACATGGGTCCCCTTCCTTCCACTCAGGACTGTCCTAGAGCTTGGCAGTGGAGCTGGCCTCACAGGTCTGGCCATTTGCAAGGTGTGCCGACCCCGAGCATTCATCTTCAGTGACTACCACAGCCGTGTGCTTGAGCAGCTCTGCAGAAACGTGCTCCTCAATGGCTTCTCATTAGAGCCCAACGCCCCTGCTGGCCCAGGCAGCTCGAGAGTGACAGTGGCTGAGTTGGACTGGGATGAAGCAACAGAGTCTCAGCTCTCTGCCTTCAGGGCAGACGTTGTCATCGCAGCAGGTGAGGCCTCACTCAGCCAGCAGCATGAGAGAGCAGTGGGTGCTGTGGACAGAGACCATCTTCCCAGAGACATCACAGCATACCCCAGAACAGGTTCTGTCCACAAACAGCCAATTGTCCCAGAGGAACAGGACAGACACCTTGCCTCAGCAGCCTGGGGCCACCTAGGTCCCTCCCTGGTCCTCCATGGAAAGCTAGGACCGCCCCACCCATTCCACCTAAGACTGGGCCTTCCATCACCCTGGGTCTTCAGGTGGAGTAGGCTGGCCATGGCAGCCCGTGGTCCTTCTAGGGCCATGGAGAACAGTATGACTTCTAGGCCACATGCAACTCCTCCACCTGTCATCAGCACCATCCTGGGCTGGGGCTAAGGTGGGACAGCAGGTGCTAAATTGGGGATTGGATTGAGTGGCCCCACCAGTCTCTAACTGGCTCCTTGCAGATGTGCCAAGGACTTACTATCATCACTGGGCCAAACAGCCCTAGCTGTCCCCACCAGCACTTGTGTCCCAGCCCTGTGTCTTTCAGAGACCACAGGAGAGAGCCAGTCTCTTCCAATACAATGAGAAAAGGCAGTATTTGTCTGGACCACTAAAGACATCATGCCACCTTCTAGCACTATGTTGGGGCTGGGGACATAGCATATCCCCACACTGAGGCTCGCACAGTGGGTCCCTTGGAAAAGCCCAAGGCCAGGCTAGGACCTGCTTCATTAAGCATCTTCTAAACAGAAGGGCACAAAACCGATGTTGCCAACTGGGCCACAGTGGCTTTCAGCAGCCCTTCTTATCAGGGTATTCCTCCACCCGAGATACTTCCTTTCCGTGGAACAGCACACATCTAATATCACAGCTGCTCTTGGGCCCTCACCTGTGCCAGTCAGCCTAACCCAGCACCCTCGCTGTGGTGGTGAATCCTAACAAGGGCCTTTCCATTATAGATGTGTTGTACTGCAGGGAAGTGACGCTCTCCCTGCTCAGGGTCCTGAGGATGTTTGCTGCCAGTTGGGGGAAGCAAGCTCCTGAAGTCTACGTGGCCTATACCATCCGCAGCCAGGACACGGGCAAACTGTTCATCGCTGAGCTAGGTCAGTCCCCAGCCTCCAGGCCACCTTACTGTCCATAGGAGGGCTTGAAAGAATGGGGAACTGGGGAGAGTAGATAGGAAGCCCCAAATCTACAAAAGAATTGTGCAGGGCTGGTAAGCCCATAGGCCAGCCCAGTACCACGATACTACAGATCCAAGTTCAGCAGCCCTGTTGCCTTTCAAAGCAGCTTTGATGAGCTCCAGGGCCTTAGCTTCCTGATCTGTAAGATGGAGGTAGCAAGGGATGCCAGCTATTGTCCAGGCACACCAGGTTCTGACCCCAGGAATCACAGGCCCTAGAAGTGGGTGCTGCCTGCCCATCCCCTCCACCATTGTGGAGCTAGACTGTCATTGGCCTCCTTGCTCCCCAGTGTCCTCCACATCTGTTCTGTGGGGTAACCACCTAAGGTACAGCCTGAAACAACACGGCAAGCCCACCCAGAACACTGGGAAGTTGGTAGCCACTGTTTTGGGCCCTCGGCCACTATTTTAGGCACCTTTACACTAGAAGAGGACCTGGGGAATTTAGAGAAGGAGTAAGGGGACCATTGTTTCCACAGACCCAAAATGTCACTGCTATGGGCCTTGCCCATCCTTTGGCCTGACATCAGTCAGCCATCGGCATGTGGGAGGGCTGTCCTATCATCCCACCCCAAATACAAAGATGCTACAGCAGTCAGAGACTGACTGACCCAAGTTTCTGTGGGCTGCAGTCAGGCCACCTGGACTATATCCCAAGCTATACCCCACCAACCCAGACAGTTTACCTCTCCACAGACCCAGCATGCCAGCCAGGGCATTCCTGATGCATTGTAGAGCCCTCCTTGCCCAGCTCTCCCAGCAAAGCCCCACCAGCAATTGTCCACTCACCTGCCACAGCTTCTGTGAGCAGACATGATACCCAAATGCCCTCCTGCACCCCACCCCAATGATCACAGAGCAAACAAGTCAGCACTCCCAGCACTCTACTGACGGAGTGCTGGGCAGCCTTGAGCGTCCCCAGGTACCAACATGACAGTGTCTAACACACCTTCCCTGAGACCAGCAGAGCACCACATTGCATGCAGGGTATGTATGCCTGCCTTTAATGGCTGCCTTCATGGGGACCTGGGGGTCTAGCTCAGTGGTAGAGCACTTGCTTAGCTTGTATAAGGCTAGGTTCCATCTAGAGCATCAGAAAAAAGTTACTATAGCTAGGAGTAATTCTAGAATATGTACCAATTATGGTTGTTCTACTGGGTGGTGGGGTTACAGAGCCTTCCACACTTGCATGTCTCTATCACTTCGTTCTTAAGAATACTAGTTTCCTTATAACAAAAGTGTGATTAAGATACCACTGTGTGGGGGCTGGAGAGATGGCTCAGCGGTTAAAAGCACTGACTGCTCTTGCAGAACATGGCAACTAACAATCATTTATAACTCTAATTCCAGGAGCTCCAACAATCTCTTCTGTCCTCCACGGGCACTGCATGACATGCATGGGTGCACTTACATACATGCAGGCGTAATATTCATACACATAAAAATAAATTTAAAAAATTGTTTTATTGCATTTTAACCAAAAAAAAAAAAAAAAAAAAAAAAAGAAGAAAGAAACCTCTGTAAAAGCCAGGTGTGGGCCTTTAATCTCAGCACTCAAGAGATAGAGGTAGGTAGATCAGTGTTTTGAGGCCAGCCTGGTCTACATAATAAGCTCCAGTCTAGCCAGGGCAATACAGTGAGACCCTGACTCAAAAAAAACATATAAGCCAGGTGTGGTAGCACACACCTTTAATCCCAGCACTTGGGAGGCAGAGGCAGGTGGATCTTTGTGAGTTCAAGGCCAGCCTGTTCTACATATTGAGTTCCAGGACAGCTGGGGCTACAAGGGGACCCTTTTCCAAAAAAAACCAAAAAAAAAAAAAAAAACAACATACCAAAAAAAGACCATTGATTTAAGGCTGGTGAGTTGGTTCTGTGGAAGAGCACAAGCATGAGGACCTGAGTGTGAATCCCCTGCACCCATATAAAAAGCTGGGCATGGCACCCACCATCATCCTCTGACCTGTGCATATGCCCCCCCACACACACACACATACAGCATCTGGCTGAACCTCAAGTCTATGGCCCAAGTAAACTTAGCTCAGACACACTATCTTGAAGCCCCACACTGTCACAAGCATCTCCTATCCCCAGTGCTGCCCTCCTGAGATCTGTATGCTCTGTTTCCAGACCGTGAGAAAATCTATTGGGAACAGGTGCCTCCTCATGCTGGGAAACTCTTTCCTTACGAAGCGCCCTCAGCCATCGTGATCCTGAAGCTCATGCTGCATGGTTACCCCAGCTTTTGAAGGTGATTGGGAAAGTGAAATCACTGTTGGGAGGACAGGAGAGCCGATATAGCTTTTACTGGGCACAAATGTCCAAGGAATGTTACATTCCAAATAATAAATCACAGACTTGTAATAAGCACAGAATGAGAGTGTGCCCATCCTCAGCAGCTCATCAGGAGTGGACAGGGCTCAAAGGCAAGCATTTCTTTTGTGCAAATAGAAACATGTATCAAGTATGACGGCTCAGGCCTCACTCAGCGGAGCCCAGTTAATGTGTGATACCCCAGAGCTCACAGCGCAGCCCGACCAAACCAGAACTGGAAGAATGTGAGAGACTGAAACAGAAGAAAAGCATCTCAGAGTCTCAGGGACCCAGAGGAGCAGCTTCCAAGTCATCCCCCAGGCATCCCTGCTGCTGTCCTTCGGGGCTCTGACCACCAGGGAGAGCACAAAAGCCCAAACAGGGACGGTGTCAGAGCAGCAGGTGCTGGCTGGAAGGGTGCACAGAGATGAATGGGGCCAGGACCCCCAAAACTCCCTGAGGGGTGGGCTCTCATCTCTGGCCCTCAGATCACTTGGTGGTTACCAAAGGGAGCACAGTGCATTGCCAGCTCTCATCCCATCGCAGCTGCTCCGACTCCCGGAGGTTCTTCCGGAACTCATTTAACTTGCCAGCAGGATCAGGAAAGTTTGAGAAAAGCATCTACAGGAAAAGAAAGACTAGAATTTAGCTCCATGCCCACCCCAAGTCCTTCCTTCTCAGGTCCAGCTGCCTACAGGCCTGGCTGACCCCAGATGCCTTTAGCAGCACCCCTTCCAAGTTCCTTCCCCTCACTGGGCACCTGAGGGAACATCTATTACCCCACAGCCCCTACCCTAGAGAAGGCCAGCCTCCACCTGCTATGCCTCCTGCCTCCCCTCCTCTCCTGTCTCTTCCCCAATGCAGTCTGCAGTAAAGAGGCCAGCCATGACAGCTCTGCCTTTGTTAAGAGGCCTGTACCTGGGGTCTGCAAACTCCTGCCTACAGACCAAGTCCTACCCACCTCACTTTGTAAATAAAGTTTTATTGGAACCAAGCCCGACTGCATGTCTGTGGATGCATTCAAATACACATTCAGATAGGTTGCACAGTTTTGACAAGAACTAAAGGACAGAGCCCAAAAGGCTGTCCACCAGCTCTCCAAGTCTTTCTTAGGAATGCACATGTGGGGGTCTCTGAGGACTCTGCAGAAGCCCCCTTGGCCCCACTCTCTCCCAAAAGGGCAACCAAGTTCCTGTCTTGACTGTGATATGAACGCAAACCCAGAAGGCGGAGAGGCATACCTGGCTGTGCCTGGCCCTCACAGCCCCTGGTAATGTGAACAGCCAGCTGGCTGACAGCCCAGCCCAGGAGGCTCCATGGAGGCCTCTGCTCCCTCCCTTCACCTCTCCTCTTTATCCCAGAGTCCCACCAGAATTGCCCTGTTTGGGAAGCAGGGGTCAGGGAGCTGCCTTGTGCACCAAGCCCTGCAGGGAGCAGACCCACTACCTGCAGCTGAACCGCCAGCTCCTCAGCATCCTTGAAGACCAGGCCATTCTCTCCATGTCTCACGAGCTCATGCAGACTGCAGAGAGAACAAGGGACCTGAGAGCCACCTGGAGGAGAGAGGCCAGGGCAACCACCCACCACCCCGAGTGAAGCTGGCATTGGGACAGCCAGCTGACCTCAGTAAGTGTTCTGAGATGTTTGTCAAAACAGCAAGCTGATTTGGAGAAAAGGCCCTAAGGGGAAGTGGCCGTCAGTGCCAAGATCATTTCTGCATTTTGTTTCTACTCCATGCCTGAGAGCCAAGGTCCCAGAGCCTGAGTTTGGCTCTGCACATCAAAGGTAGCTTTTCCAGGTCTCTGCAGATTCAATCTTGATGAACCCTGAATTCAACTCACATGAGCATCTCACACCAGAAATTTCTATCCACAGGCTGCTCTGTGCCTTCCAGAACTTTATCTCTCATTGCCCTTGCCCATGCCCATCCAGGCTGGGGAAAGTATTTCAGTGGGTGGGGCTCAACTGCAGAGACCACACAATCCTGGCTCTTAACCACCCTGTGTTATAGGGGAGATGATGCCCTGCTGGTTCCCTCTCAGCTACATATCTAGAATGTGACCCCAAGTAAAGCTCAATGTCTGCTCTTACCACTTAAAATTCACAGCACACACAGGCAAGCAGCACCCAAACATGTCCACTACCTTCATGGGCAGGTCCAGGCCACTAGAGGACATGTGCAGACAGACACCCAGGTCCGCTGACCCTGCAGAGACAAAGTACTGGCAGGCATCCTCCCACGACTGTGCAGGGACCCCTCTACAGGGAGTAGAAATCAGATATCCCCATCAAGTCTGTCCCCAAACACAAATGACAAGCTGACCAAGGAGCCAGGGGGCCTGACCAGAGGCAGAAACATGGTTGACCACAGGGTTCTCTGAAACTGCCTGGTGACTAAAGTTTCTTAATTTACACTGACTCATTCTTTCTACTTAACTATAATTCATTATCAAAGAAAAGCTTCCTGTACTATAAGCTGAGTGTAGGGTTTCTGGCTGAGGCTGTAGAGTGGACACACTCCCAGGAATGCCACTGAACAGACACCTAAAAATGACTAGAGGGAGGCTGGCCGGATGTCTCAGTGGGTAAAGGTGCTTACCACCAAACCCAACGACCTCAGTTCAATCCCCAGAACCCACATGGTAGGAGAGAACTGACTCCTGAAAGTTGTCCTCTGATCTCCACAAGTGTGCGCACGCATACAAGTAAACAACTATTTTAAAAAATGGCTAGAATGAGAGGCAGGTGGATCTCTGTGAGTTCAAGGCCAGCCTGGTCTACATAGGGAGTTCCAGGTCAGCCCCACTGACCTGGACAGGGGAAACCCTGTCTCAAAAAGACCAATAAATAAATAAATAAATGGCTAGAATGGCAAATTTTGTTACATGTATTAACATGTGTTGCTGTGAACAGCAACTTAAGCAACTCCTGTTTCAACAGGAACTCATTAAAATCTTTGAAATGAAAATGTGAAAAAAAAAAAATTAGCTGTCAGCCAGACATGGTGGCACACATGTGTAAGCCCAGCACTGGGAAGGCTGAGACAGGAGGCTTGCACAAGTTCAACACCAGCGTGAGCTACATGGTAAAACCTTACGCAAAAATAAAATAAAAAGGCCAGGCGTGGTGCTCACCTATAACCCCAACCTCTGCTGAGGTAAAAGGAACTACTGTAAATACAAGGCTAGCCTGAGCTACAAGAGTTTCAGGCTGGCCATGGTAAGCACTCGGGAGGCAGAGACAGACGGATCTCTGTGAGTTCAAGGCCAGCCTGGTGTACATAGTGAGTTCCAGGCCAGCTGGGGCTAAAGGAAGACCCTGTCTCAAAAAAAAAAAAAAAAAAACTAGGAGAAACAGAAGTTGGTAACATCTTTCCTCTCTGGCCCTTGTGAGATAGTGTTGCCCTCCGAAGCACTCCCCTTGAAGCCTCTGCCTTCCCCTGAAGCACAGCTCTCTCACCTAGAAGCAGAGGGTAGTCCTCAGCCTCTAGCCACGGGGTGCAGACCTGGACGTGCCGGAAGTGCTTTTGGCTGATGAGATGACTGTAGTGCTCCTTCAGGGGCCCTTTGCCTTTGCAGAAAAAAAAGTCACCACCAGGTTCCAGCTCTGTCCCTGCCACTTGACTGGTACCAACTGCTTCTGCTGGCACTTGGCAATCATTTCCCAAGACCCAACCTGCCAGTGGCCTCAGTCAGGGCCTGAGATCCCATAGTGGGGGACATTAAGCAGAGTCCTGCCACCTGCAGCCAGCTGGCCTGGGGCTGCAAGTTGAGAAGGGGACCAGGATAAACGCTAGGGTGCTACCAAGGTGGACATAGTGCCTACATGTGTCAAGTACAGAAAAAGAGTCTGTTCCGTCTGCCAGGAGCCCCAGCAGGGTCCCCACATATTTGGTAGGCTCCATGTTACCCCTGGCAGCCCTGGGGCAGCTCCCCTACCCTATGACAGCATGGCTCTGTGCTGGACAGAAGGCATTCTGTTTTTAAACTAGAGAGAGACTAGAAGCACTCTGAGAAAGGGGAGCGCTTGGTCTCCAAGTAGTGCCACTGGAGATTCAGATCTGAACTCTGCACCCTGCCACAAATCCCTTTAGAGCCGCAGTCCCCATACATCAAGTAGATACAGAAAACACTATGCCAAGTCAGACCTGATGACACAGGTCTGTCCTAGCTACTCGGGAGGCTGAGGCACATAAGCATGACAAGGCCCGCCTGGGCTACAAGAGTAAGTTCAAGGCCAGCCTGGCCAACTTAGTGAACCTCTGCCTCTTAAGTAGAAATCAAAACGGCTGGGGATATAGCTCAGTTGTAGAACACCTGCCTAGCATGAGCAAAGCCCTGGGGAGGGAAAGAGGGAGGGAGATATAGTCTCTTCTGGAGAGTCAAGGTGATGATCAGCAAGAGCGTACCCTGCAGAGGCCTTCTATAAAGGCTGCATGCCCCTTCTCCTGCCACCCTTCCCCTCCTAAAAACAAGAGATCATGTCCCTGCTGGTACCTGTTATCACACAGACTAGAGAGGGAAGGCTGTCTCCACTTAGTGCCAGCTGTTCAAACTCTGTTTAAGAAAAAGGAAGACACACTAACCAGGAGACAGCAAATGAAGGGGCAGGGGCGCTGCTCCCCAGGAGGCTTCTGGCCTCAAGATACTTTTCCAACCTAGGGTCTGGCCCTCAACAGCCATGCGGGGACAGGAAGCTTCCCACACCCTCCTCCATCCTCAGACTGGCCCACCCATGACCGTAGGGACAGGACCACATGGCAGCCCTGCCACACAAGGCCCCTGACATGCTCCAAGCTGCTGAAGCAGCCACACACCTACTTTCTAATGCACACAGCAGGATAGAGAAGTCCTCATCCTCTAAGAGAAGAAAAGAGAGGTCACTGGCTGCCTCCGCCACCTCCGCCCACTCTACACCCATCTCAGGTTCCCAAGAGAGCAGGAGCATGCCTGCTAGGCACACACCCGGGGTGCCGGGGGAGGGGCAGACCTGTCCAGCTCGTGCTGCTCACCAGCAGCGCTGGCCGCCCATGCAGATGCGTCACTGCCCCGCTCCGAGAGTCCCTCTCAGTGAAGGCTGACCTCTCTGTGGTCCCATCTGAGGGCTCTTGACTAAAGAATGGAGGAAAGCGGTAAGATGCTAGATACAGCAGCACAGGGGCAGGGCCACAGGCTCCTAGCCATGTCAGTACCCAGCCAACCCCACAGAAAGATCATGGTTCCTGGCACTGAGGTTACAGTAGCAGCACCCACTCTGCCACTGAGTGCTGCCTCCGTGGGCTTCCCCGCTGTGCATGCTTATTATCCATCCCACTGAAATTGTAGTGACCCTGAAGCCACCATGTTTGCTTACCAGGGGCACACAGAGGACATGTGCAGAGCTGCAAAGATCCCCTCCTCAGCCCAGTGAGAAGCCCAGGGAACACTTGGGTCCCCTGTCCCACCAGAGGCACAAGAACCTACCAGCAGCAAATCAAGGCAGTGCAGGCAGGGCTCAGCAGATCTTTTCTTAAAGGGCTCTGTGGTCACATGTCTGTGACACAGCCCAGCTCCACTGCTGTAGCTTGGGGAAACAACCTCTGCTTTTTGAAGCAAAATCTTAAAAGGCCAATCTAGCCTCACTCCTGTTTCAGCCTCCAAAACACTGAGACTACAGACTTGTACCATCTACCAGTTGCTATAAACATAAAGGAATGGGTGGACTGTGTTCCAATAAAACTTTACAGAAACAAGCAGCAGAACCCAGCCTTATTTTGCCACCGTCTGGGTGGTGGACCCCAGGTCTGCAGGGGACTGGGACAGCAGAGAAGAGAGACATACCAGCTCCGGAAAGGAGGGTACATGTGGCCCAGCTTCATGAAGAGCTTGTGCTGCAAGTCCACAGGTGTCTCCTTAAAGAAAGATGCTGGCTTGTCATAGAGAGTCACAGCCCTGAAATGAGATGGGGGCAGCAGAGAAAACTCTGAGTAAGAGGACACTGACAAGAAACCACAATTCCTTGGGATCATGCACAGATTTTTAGCATCAAAACTGCCTATAACACATAGCTAGGAGAGAAAGACCCCATCACCTCTTCCCTCAGCTTCTCAAAACCAGTAACCATTCAGGGCATGGTAGCCCATGCCTTTAATCCCAGCACATGGGAGGCAGACCCTGATCTACATAATGAATTCCAGGTGGGCTGGGGCTACGGGAGACCCTATCAAAAAAAACAAAATCAGTAACCATCACCCAGGTCCTGGGTACTTCAACAAAGTATAGTGGATGCTGCAGTTCTTGAGCCCCCACAAAACACACAGGCTGACAGGTGTCCCAGGATCTGCATACCTGACACGCCAGTTCTCTGCCAGATCTTCCCGCATCGCATCGGTCACACACAGGTTCAGGTGGGACAGGCGCCCAAAGAACCTCTCATACCTACAAAGATAACTTGGGAATCAGCATGGAGCCCTGGTCTGAACCTGGTCTGAGCCTAGATGCCACGCCAACCTCCATGTAACTCAACACCCCTCAGTAGCTGGCTGCTGAGCCAGTCCCATTCCCCTAGAACCTGCCAGTTTGCGTGAACTGACCTCTCACTACAGTTATTTTTCACACCTTGCTTCCCTCTATCACTTTTCACTTCTAAAGGAAATGATATCCCATTTCCCAAGCTTCTCAATAAAGAAGAGAAGTCTAACAAAGGCCTCATAGCCAAATATTGACTATCCTGGTCCATCACCACAGGGGCTCTATGATACAGCTCACTCACAACATGATACAGACGAATTCATGAATCTGAGAGGCTGGAGGCCTGGTCACAGACTAGAAAGAGGACAAGCAAGTCAAGGTTGCTAAGCTGCAGGCTAGGGATGCAGCTCAGTTGGTGGAGTGCTTGTCTAGCATGCAGGATGCTCTGGATTCCATCTCCAGTGCTGCAAAAACCTGATGTGGTGGTGTGTGCCTGTAATCCCAGCACCCAGCAAGGCAGGAGGATCAGAAGTTCAAGGTCATCCTCAGCTACATGGGGTTTGGGGCCAGCCTGGGCTAAAGACTCTGCCTCAAATGTGTGTGTGTGCGCATGTGTGCGTGCGTGCGTCTGGGCATGTAGCTCAGTTGGAAGAGTGTTTCCCAAGCATTCACAAAGTCCTAGTTTGATTCCCAGCAATGTATAAAACAGGAGTGGTAGCATACGCCTGTAATCCTAACACTTGAGAAGTGGATCAAGGCTAGCCTAGGATATATGAGACTCAAAAAATAAACTGCTTACAAACAATAAATTAAAAGTAAGGTTATTAAACTGGGTGTGGTGGGTCATGCCTATAATCCCAGTATTCAGGAGGCTGAGGTGGGAAGACAGACCCAAGTTCAAAGCCACAAACTATCACCATGGTTTCAGTCTTTTCTTCCCTCCAGATACAGAGAAAGCTCTAGAATGGGACTCCCTGAGGCTGAATCCTCACTTACTTCCTGTGTGGCAAGAGATGACATCACTCTCAGCCTACCTTGTGAAAGGACAGTGAACACAGCACACCTTAACCAGGGATGATGAAGACAGAGTGGGAAATAACACAGGGGCCTGGCCTGAGGCTTGGCCTGCAGCTAGCACTCCATGACTGCCAGGAGCAGCCTGGGCTGTCTTTCCCATGAACAGCAATCAAGCCAGCAGGCAAAGGCTACAGGATCTAGCTGATTCCCAAAGCCGGAGGCACACACTTAGACAAAGGGCAGTGGGCCCAGAGTGGAGCCAACAACCCTGCTGTGGTCCAGCCTGCCCCCTACCTTTCTCTACTCACTCTGATGGGGATTGAGAGGGCCATCCATACCCTCCCTCCAGACTCTCACCACTCAGCGAGCAGCACAATGGGGTGCTGGGGGCCGTGCACCAGGCCCATGATGGAGTAGCCATAGTTGTGCCAGTCGATGACCAGTTTGCTCCTACAAAGGCAGCCCACAAACCAGCAGACAGCAATGGCAGGCAGGCCAGGGGGGTTCTAGGAAAGAGAGACTTGGAGGCAGTGAAAGAAACACAGACTACGGCCTATACAGCCTAAATGAAGAGGGGTGACCACATAACAAGACCGTGATCTCTGTAGGCTTCTCAACAACCAATAAACAGAAGAAAGACCCTCTCCACTGCCACAAAAAGCCTAGGAAAACATGAAAGAAACCAAATTGCCCAACCAGAAAACTCCAAAATCACCAATAATCAAGAACACTTGGGCCAGGGAGATGGCTCAGTGGGTATAGCATTTACCAAGCATAAGGACCTAAGTTTGATCCCCAGTACCCATGCAAAGCTGGGCTCTACTGAGTACACATCCATTATCCCAGCATTCATATGACAAGAACAGAAATGGAGGACCAGAGATTCCATGGAAGCTTTTGAGCCAGCTAGCTTGCCATAAACAGCAGCAAATAAGAGACTCTGTCTCAGACAAGGAGAGGACTGACACCTGAGGTTATCCTCTGACCTCCACACACACTGTGGCATGCATGCACACACATATACACACAAAGATAAAATAAATTTTTAAAAATAAGAACAAGGGCTGGAGAGATAGCTCAGCAGTTAAACATACTGGCTGCTCTTGCAGAGGACCCGGGTAGGATTCCCAGCAACCAGGTGGTGGCTAACAACCATCCATAACTCCACTTCCAGGGGAATCCAACGCCCTCTTCTGACCTCTGTGGGCATTACACTTACACACATGCAAGCAATACACTCATACACATAAAATAAAAATAATAAAATATTTTTTAAAAATAATAAATAAAAATAACAAGAAGAAAAAGCTGGGCATGGTGGTGCATGCCTTTAATACCAGTACTTGGGAGGCAGAGGCAGGCTGATCTCTCTGAGTTGAAGGCCAGACTAGTCTACATATAGAGTTCCAGGTCAGCCAGGGATACATAGTGAGAGAGAGAGAGAAAAAGACAGCAAGCACCAGTGCAATGGCTCAAAGAGTAAAGAGGCCTGCCACCAAGCCTGAAAACCTGAGTCAATCCCCAGACCCCACATGATGGAAAGAGAGAACTGACTCCAAAAGTTGTCCTCTGATCTCCACACCTGCACTGTGGCACAGGAATATACACACTCAATAAATGAAAGGGGGAGAAGAATCTTGAGTGTATTGGCACAAGCCAATAAGAAAAGATACTTCTAGGCATAAACACTTGGGAGAGGAGGGCTGGAGAGATGGCTCAGTCGTTAAGAGCACTGGCTGCACTTACAGAGGACCCAAGTTCTGTTCCCAGGACCCATATGGTGGCTCACAACTCTAACTCCAGTTCCAGAGGATCTGACACCCTCCTCTGGCCTCCATGGGCACCAGTCACACATATGGTACACAAATATACATGCACACAAAACACTCCTATACATAAAACTAAATCTTTTAAGAAATAAAAATTGGTATAGGGAGAAGGGGGTGCGGAGTTAGCTCAGCCAGTAACATAACTGCCATATAAGCCTGGTGACACGAGTTCTATCCCCAGAACCCACGTAAAGGTGGAAGGAGAGAATCAACTCCATAAAGCTGTCCTCTGACCTCCACAGGTATGCTACAGCATCTGCCTTCAACCCCCAACACAGGATAAAAGGAAAAAAAAAAAACAGTAAGAGGAAGAGGTGAAAAGCTAAAACCAGGCTCTAAAACTCTAAAATCAGGCTGACTACATGGGTTCAAATCCTGACTCCATCACTTCCTAGCTATATATAAGCTACTTATAGGACTTCTTTGTATCTAGGCGTCTCCATGACTAAAGTATAATACAAGAACCTACTCCTAGTGACTTCTTGAGGGGGTTAAATAAGGCTTTACCGGCAATACTGACAAATCAGTAAATGCAGAACAAGACTCCATCCATCATAACACTAATGGGTACCCTTGCTGGCCTGAAACTCACTATACAGACCAGGCTGGCTTTAAACTCACAGAGATCCATCTCCCGAGTGCTGGGACTAAAGGCATCCTCCACCACACTGTTTCATGATTTTTTTCAAATATTAATTTATTCTTTGACAATTTCATACATGCATATAATGTATTTTGATCATTCCCCCATCACCCTCTCTTTTCCTCCTCCTAGTCCCCCAATCTCTCTGGGAACCCGTCTTCCCAAACAGCCCCCTCCTGCTGTCAAATCTTTTTGTTCTTTTAATAACTGAGTCTATTAAGGCTGCTTGAATGAACATGGGTGTGGGTTATTTACCAGCACATGAGCAATTTACTAGTGGCTACACCATTGAAGAAAATGGACTCCCATCTCCCAACAACCCTAACAGCTCCTCAGCCAGGGATGGGGCTAGAATGAACCCCTCCCCTGTATATGTTAGAACACTGATAGACCATAGACCAGTTGCTGCAAGTTCATGAGTGCAATAGCCCTACTCATGTTTGATACAGTTTATGCACACAGAAGTATGTGATTTATTTATTTATTTGTGCATTTTCTGTAAGATACACAGAATCAAATCCAGGACTTCAATGCACCACACTCCTAGTCCCATTTGTGCACATTTAAAAGGCTGGCAAGTCAACTGCTAACAGTAGTCCTCTTGGAAGGAGGTAGAGGTTGGCACATACCTGGAGGAAGATGTAGGCTGCAGGGTCTGTGCACATCAGCTTCCACAGTAAGTACACTGCCTGAAACACAACTTTGACTCCATATTGGAGAACTCGGGGCCCAGCTGCAAGTCAGAAAACAGTCATTTCTGCAAAGGAGCTCTGGACAGTCTGCCAGTCCACCCACCTCCCCAATACACAGCCACCCCTCCAACACACCCACCCCCATCAGAAATCTGAGGTTGACTGATCCTACCTCCCAGACTCTGCAACTCTGTCAACTCCACTATCTGAATCCTATCACTCTGCAAGAGTTCATCTCGAGGTTTAGAGTCTGAAAACAAGAGGAGGAAAAAGAAAACAAGAAAATAACTGATCAAAACCTCTTGGTTCCCAGTAGCCAGAATGGAGAATGAGGGCACTTTGTATACATCTTCTACTAGAATGGCCACAAAGAGAGGACTCACATCTAACCCACTTTCCTTGATGATTAGTACACAATAGGCACTCAATTAAATTGATGTGAACTCCTAGATGAGGAGTCTAGGTCAGTTCCATTCCACCCAAACCCTGGGACAGGAGGACACACAGCTATCAATCGGTGCTATTCCCTCCTTCCCTGAAACCCAGCTGAGCCACCCTCTAAACTCGCAGGTGGGCCCAACCTTCGACACCCACATGCATATCAGGATAGCTATGAATGCAGCCCAACATACTGGTACAAGATGTCATATCTTTTTCTTTTTTTTTGGTCTTTTTGAGAGAGTGTCTCCCTGTAGTCCCAGCTGACCTGGAACTCACTATGTAGACCAGGCTGGCCTTGAACTCACAGAGATCCGCCTGCCTCTACCTCATGAGTGCTGGGATTAAAGGGTAGGCCACCATGTCTGGCTAGATGGCATATCTCAATGTGAAAACCCCCACCACGGAAAGATCATGCACAGGGACATCATGAGAGAGTGGAGGTCCCGGCCTGCACCCAAGGGGGGAAGCTGGCGCTGGGAAGCAAATGAAATGCCCCCAGATGGTGGAGCTCTGGGCTGAAGGAGGGATGTAAAGAAATAGATGGCCTGTCGGCCCAGTGACATATGCAGCACGCGGAAGTGGTGACCAGCAAGAAGCCGCACGCGCCCAGTCTGCATTCATTAGAATTAGGTGGGACCACTCTATCACTTAGCACCGTCCTCACGAATGGCAAGCAGAGGGTGAGGCAGGCTGTTTCCAGGCCAGGGCAGGCAAGAGAGTAGCAGAGTCGCTCCCAACTGGGCCCGGGGACCGTGAGAGCCAGAGGCGGAGGCCGAGCCTCCCTCCCAGGCCCCCGCCACTCACGGCAGAACCCCAGCAGCGTCACCGAGAAGCCGCTCTTGGCCAACGACAGTGCGTGGTACTGCATGCGAGGACTTCGGCCCACGTCGCCCAGCACCACGACCACCACGTGCCGGGCCGCGCTCGCCTGCCTCGCGCGTATCCGCGCGCCGAGCAGCCGCAGCAGCAACAGCAGCACCGGCGCCAAGAGCAGCGTCAGCACCAAGAGCTCGACGCAAGACGACGCCATCTTAGCCGGTCGCCGGCGGTCACGTGACACGACTTGAGGCGGGGCCGGCGGTGCACCGCCTGAAACCAAGGATTTGCTGTGGGACGGGAAGAGGGCGTGTCCATAAGGATGATAGGCCGGGCTAAGAAGTAAGGGGAGGGGCGAGATATGTGGGCGGGGTTTAAGACCCCCCGGAGGGGCGGGGCTGGAGGGGGTTCTGGAAAGGTTTGAAAATAGGACCCAGAGGAACCCCTGCAGAGCTCCTGGGAACCAAAGATTTAAGACATTTGCCATGTTGAGTTCCCTGTGTATTTCCCCTATGGAAATAAAGATGTACCTTTATTGGGAGCTAAGAACTTTTGTTTTTAGAGTTCTAAGACAAATTTCACAATAATAGTGAGGTAAGAATTTGGATGATGGGCTGGTGAGAAGGTAAAAGTGCTTACTATCTCTGTAAGGACCCACATGATGGAAGGAGAGAACCCAACTCTTGCAAGTTGTTCTCTGACTTCCACATGCATGCTGTGGTGCATGCAAACCCTTCCCGCCATGCTAAATAAATAAAATTTTTTAAATAATTTGGATGAATTTCCTAGTTGATGTTGAGGAAAGAGGCCGTTCCCTGAAGAGTGCACACAGTGGTTCATTTCTACACCTGGAAACTGATCTTTGGTGTTAGAAAGGAAGGGCCCATGGGGGTTCAGCCAGCCGTGCTGCATTAAGCAGAGGTCATTTCCATGTGGAAAATTTTGCCCACCTTAAAATGCGTATTTCTTCATTTGTTAAGATGCATGCATGTTGAATGCAACATTTCAAATAAAAAGGAGAGGGAAGCTGGGCATGATAACACAAGCCCATTAGTACAACCTCAGCCTTTGGAAGGTACAGGCAGGAAGAGAAGGATTTCAAGGTCATTACTTAGCTGCATAAGGTGTTCAAGGCCAGCCTGAACAGCTTAAGATCCTATCTCAAAAAGGGCTGGAAAGAGACAGCTCAGCAGTTTAGAGCTCTTGTTGTGTAGTCATGAGGACTGGAGTTCAGATCCCAGCACCCATGTAGCAAGCTGGGCATCACCCCCATGACTGTGACACCAGCTTCAAGGGGGACAGAGACAGGACTCTCACTGAGGCTTGCTTGCTTCCAACTTAGCAGAGAAAACAGAAGCCTCAAATTTAGGGAGAGAACCTGCCTGGAAAGAATAGGCAGAGAACTAGAGAAGAGGATGTTTGAAGCCCTCTTCCAGCCTCCAGGTGTGTGCACGAGCATGGACAACCCCCTAACACACATGCATACAATCACACACATGGTCACACATAAATACATAAGTATTTTTAATTGAATAAAATGAAATGAAAAATACAAGAAAACAAGCTAAAAAATATAGCTACAACCATAGATTTTATTATCATATGTGAATTATATGGAGTCAGGCTCACTGTGTTTCATTATATTTTTTTAATTTCGTTTTTTGAGACAAAGTTTTCCTGTAGCCCCAGCCAGCCTGCAACTAGTTACAAAGACCTAGTTGGTTTCTGCCTCCTAAGTGCTGCAATTAAAGGCATGTGCCACCACACCTGTCAAATTTTAAATTTTTAAATATACATTTATTTGTTTGTTTGCTGGGGGGGGGCACATCTGTGAGGGTCGGAGGACAACTTGCTGTAGTCATTTTTCTCCTTCTACCATGTGGTTTCCAGGGATCAAACTCAAGTCCTCGGGCTTGGTCACAAGCACCTTAAGCCATGTTGCCAGCACTTCAATATGACATTTCTATGCATGTAGATAGCGCACTGAACTCATGTTCACCCCCTCTATAACTCTTTTTTTTTATTTATTTATTTATTTGCCAGGCACTTGGGAGGCAGCACTTGGGAG